GTACAAACCTCAAAAGCAAGGGAACTAAATTGAAAAAAAAAAAAAAAAAAAAAAAAAAATCTGCAGGAAAAAAAAAAAAAAAAAAAAAAAAAAAAAAAAAAAAACCTCGACAGTCTAAATTCGTGTTGTTTTCCTCTTCACCACCATTTCTAGATTCGTGCGTGTCCTCCTTCTAATATTGGGCCTCACTTTTAAAAAAAAAAAAAAAAAAAAAAAATTGGGGGGCCTCACTGCACTACTCTCCACATGCACAAAGAAAGACAAAAAAGATAGTTGCGTGTCATCCTTTCGAATATTTGGGCCTCTCTGCACTTCAACATGTACCTTTCCATCTTCTAGCGGTGGATTCAGTCTCATTTTGCACATTTGGAGAGTAGTGCAGCGAGGACCATTTTTTTTTCTTTTTTTTCTTTTTTTTTAAAGGGCGATGGCCTTGAGGTATTATCATCGGACTAACCAGCCCAGGTAAATTCAATCTTGTGTCTAATCTGACAACGGTGGCCTTTTCAGCCCAGGGTGGCAGGTTCTGCTGATGTTCATAGGGGGAGGAGTAATCGGGGAGGCACAGCGAGGACCATTGACGCATGTTCCAGAGGACTTCTTCAGGTTAATATAATTAAGGATAGTGAGTGGAAAAAAAAAAAAAAAAAAAAAAAGGGGGACCTGTGAACTAAGCCAGTCGGGAGGAGGATAGAGTGTTTGGGCATATCAGGACAGTCGGTCGTTAGGGACGCGCGGTGGTCCATTAGGAGGAGGGTGTCAGTGATATGGGAGTGGGAGCTGAGTCTCCACCGCCAGGCCAAGCTAGGCTCGGTCCCCGGTTTAGGCTGGGTAGGTAGGCAGGTAGGTAGGTAGGTAGGTAGGTAGGTGATTTCGAGTTTGTTTCGAGTTGGAATGTAATCATTTTATGGTTGTTGTGCTCACAAAAAAATGTCTGGTAGCGTTTCTGATAGGTGAAGTTGTTCGAGGATTGTATGCATTTGCATGGGTTGAACTGGCCCTCGGTTCTGCCGGGGCCGTAAGCTAAGCTGAGTAATGCTCTCAGCATCCGGGTAGAATTGTGAGGCCCCCCGCCTCAATTGTTCTTTGTTATGCAAAGTGTTTTTGTGAAGAAGAAAAAAAAAAGTGTAATTCGTCATTTCTTCTATCTAGCTATATTCGGCGGACGGAAGAGAGAGAGAGAGAGAGAGAGAGAGAGAAAGAGAGAGAGAGAGAGAGAGAGAGAAAGAGAGAGAGAGAGAGAGAGAGAGAGAGAGAGAGAGAGAGAGGAGATGGAAATGGCGACTCCCAGCTGTTGTCTTGATGGATGCAGGTATGGATACCTGTGATGATGGTTAGAGTTATTCTCACATGTCACATATATCCATTCCAGTCATGATTTAAGTATTAATTGATTTATTGAACTATTTTTAGCTGTTAAAGAAAAAGGCACCTTTTTTTTTTCTTTTTTTTTAATAATGTAGGACCTTTTTTTGGTTTCCAAGTTTGATGGTTAGCCGTCATATGAGACAGTTCGACGTCGTATCAGATTTTGGTCGGCAGTACCGTCTTCTCCCGAACACAGCGCACCCTCATCACAAATGCACACAGGCTTATTTTTCCGGCCCGATGCAGTCGCGATGATGATGCGTTGTGTTCGGGGGAAAGACGGAAGTAAAAGCGCATTTCCCGCTCGTCTGAATGACGAGGGTTCGATCCCTGGGTCAACGACATGACCCCCCACAAAAGTGACAAGCGAATCCACCGAGTGAGGTTGTATTCACTGACCTCCGATTTTGTGCACAGCCAGATTTGCAGTCGCGTTCCGCCTCCTCGCTCTCCGCTACTAGATCGCCGTAATCGCGCAGTCGGATCATACCCAGCCAGGCATCCCGTGTGAACATAGACCGCCGAGCTAATTCATCGCGGTGCTTCCTCATCATCTCTCGGTAATCAAGAGATGAGCTGCGCGACACGTGGCGCTCCTCCGCCCAATGATCGCTAGACCCTCGGATTATCTCTGCACGGGCGGGGGCTGCTGCATATGCCACCTGCCCTCCAATCAACAACGCCGCTGCGATCCCAACGCAAAAGCCGGTCCCAGCAACAACCTGGCCTCCCAAGATCCCCGTCCACCTCTGCTCCCTCAATAGCGTCTGCTTCGACTTCTCTCCACTCTTGCCTCTCCTCTCCTCTTCCTCCTCCTCCTCTTCCTCCTCCTCCTCCTCCTCCTCCTCCTCCTCCTCCTTCTTCAGGGTACCATGAAACCCCACACCTCTTTCCACCAACATGGCAGTGTTGTGATCACAGATGACGTCAACACTGTAACGCATCCTTCGCTTCCCACGGCCTAAACTGGAGCGCGATAGCAAGACGGACCTTGCCTCGGTCGCTGCGGATTTGCCGGTCCATTTTAGGCCGTGGGAAGCGAAGGATTTCGCTACCTTCAGACATCCCTCGGGCTCGTCGGGCTCTCCTTCTTCGACAACACGGACGATTTCCTGGCCCCTACTATCCCTTCCAGGATCACGTCTGATAGAGCGCGAAGCCATTTCCGTCGTGATGGGACGTGCGCAGCACCTCCCGCCCTCCATCGAACAATGCCGACGACGACATGAGACGTGGCGGTCTATCCAAGTGGCACTCGACGAACCCAATTGGAAACTCCCTCCCCCCCCACGAGGCCATCCTTGCAAACGCGGCCTCCGCGATCTTCCGATCGCAGAGAAGTCACATCCTCTCCCCACACGTTCGAAGCTGCACGATTGCCGCCGCCGCCGTAGGCGCTGCTGCTGCTGCTGCTGCTGCTGCCGCCGCGAGCAAGCAGTCGTTGCCATGCAACAAGGAAGAACTCGTGGGAGTAATTTTAGACTTCGACCTGTTCCAGGACCAGGAGCACACCCTGCACCAAGGACGACTGACCTGGACCAGCAAGCTTCGTGCAAGGCACGTGGTCGTGCACCAGCTCGGCCATCCAGCAAGTTCCCACTCCGCGACCATACCCAGCAGGCTTCCGGAGGCGAGCCTGCTACTCGACCTTCGTCGAGGTTGTGCAGCCCGTGCGAGTCGAGTGTGGCGCGAAAAAGATGTGTGCTTGAAAAGCATTGTCGTCGACATCTCAATCTGCCACCGCGGATGTCGATCGCAGCCTGGGGATAAACTACATGTAGCGCGACGGCCATAACCCCCGAGAGAAGGTAACGCCGGGACGAAGACAGATCAACGACCGCGATCGTATTTACTAGTAAGATACCCACAGCAGGCACGTGTCAGTCACGTCAGGGCATGACTCAAATCACTTACTCAAATGACTATCATCTCAAAAAATCCACCTGGCGCAATCCGCGACCACAATCATTCAACAAAGCTCGTGTGTGAGTTGAAAAAGCCCAAGACGACGGCCCCAGTAGGATGGCCGACCGATCTGGCACTCACTCCAGCGATACTCGCTCTGCGTGTAGCCAAACTTCGCAAAGAACTTGCTGGTTTCCACTCCCGTCGTCAATGTTTTGCAAACAGTAAAAAAAACACCGAGATCAAGTCATTCGTTTGACAGGAGGTTCTCTGTATAAAAGGAGGAGGTGATGCGAACGCGTACGGCACCAGGCTCTCCGGACTCAAGGAGTCAAACACCCCGCCGTCGAAGCCAACAAGCTCTGGACAGCTTAGGAGAGGTAGAGGACAAATGGACCGCGAAACGTGCACATGACCGGAGTAACACTGTGAGGAGTAATACTGTAAGTAGTACCTATAGTAGAAGAGTAGCAGTAGTGTAGCAGCCCTAGCAACAGCAGCAGGAACAGCAGTGGAAATAAGTACTTACACGATGGTCGAGGAGGCGAAAAAAAAAAAAAAAAAAAAAAAAAAAAAGAGAGTAGTAGGCGTCTTGGAATGACGATGCCCACGACGACGACGAAGAAGAAGAACTCTGAAATAGCGAGGCCGACCGCTAAGCGTCCATGCTCAAAGATAGACAGAGTACATCTCCTACACGGACTTGCATGCTCAATATAATAGTGGAAACAGTGGCCAGCTGCCTTTCGTACACGCTTGGAAAGCACATCAATACACAGCCGCGCATACTCATCTCAGCTCACGCGCACAATCCCCGTCGATGAATCAACTACGTGCTACGTGCTACGTGACGCGTGGCTGTTTATCAGAAACAACGACCAAGAAGATCAACGTCATAGAGGAAGAAAGCGACGTGTAAGCCTGTAGCGATCTTGCTACGGCTACGCAGTCAGTCACTACCAACTCGATGCCTGTCTTTTTCTTGAGATGTGGATGACGACTTGTCAAGAAAAGAGGGCAAATTTCGATTATATTAATGTCAAAGAACTTTTTTTTTTCTACACGACGACGGAGAAAGGGTCAAGACGGGGCCTCAAGTCCAGTTGTGGAAAACGAGGGAAGGCGTGAACAGAGACTGCACAGGGATCGAACGGCGGGGGATGCAAGCAGCTTGCCCCCGCCCGCAAACCGAAACACAGCCATGTGTTCAGGCGAATGGACACTCCGAAAACTTGACAAAACTTGACGAAAGAAAGACTAAGTCGCGGTCTTTTTTTCCCGCGCAACTTGCCTGCCCGGCTTTCACCACTCACACACACTTCCTGTGGGCGTAAATTTGTCGTCTTTACGACCACAGCCGTCGATCCGTATAATTTCTGGGCTCAAAAACAGTGTGCTTTTATGAACTTTTTAATCGTTCTATTCGTTTTTTCGCTTCATAATGTGGCCCCGCCTGACGGGTTGATGTTATTACTTTAGTGTTCAATAGGAGCCGCGCGCGAATTCGGAACAGCCACGTTTTCGCTCCATAGCAATTTGCAATCTACGCAGGATCATACAGCCATCAGTTTTTTCGCGCCATAGCAGTTCACAATCCCCCACACGCAGGATACAGCCATCAGTTTTCCGCTCCATTGGCGCTAAGAGCACGCAAATGTCAAATTTTTCGCCGTCGATTGGCGCTGGCGCGGGCGCGCGCAATTGTTGCCAGCAGTAGTTTTTCGCCCCAGTGGCGTTTGAGCGCGCAATTATGCCCGAGGGTTGAGCGCCGACGAGATTCGGACGGTGGCGGGAGTTCGTGTGCGAGCGCGTTGAACGGCGGCAACGCGCCATATGCGTGCGCAAAATTGAACGGAAACAGGGCGGGAAGCACATAGCCGTTCTCCTCTCCATTGGAATTGACGTTGGGATTGGACCTCGCTCCACTACAGAACATTCTACATGTACTTGGTCCCCAACGAGGTCCCGATACGTTCAAAGTGTTCAACTTGTCCGTCGAGATACATGTAAACTCTCGTGCAGTGCAGCGATGCCGATTGTCACCTGCGTAGGACTGAAGCCGCAGCTTTTCGCCTCGTCAGAGTCGCGTTGCTAGGCGGCTTGTGGTTGAGAGCCGAAGCGCGCAGAAGTGCACAGCCACCGCTCGATCGGAATTGTATGTGTGGGCGTCTGTGGGCCTCGTTGGCAAGCCGTAGATTCGGTTGCAAATGCCCTCAACCATATTTATTTGCTCGCAGTTCGCAGTTCGCAGGCAGGATGGGTGTGCTTTTACATGGTTGCGTTTTGTCGCCTAGTGGAGTTTGCCATTTAGGGAATCTGGGGGTCTGGGGGGTTAGAGGGCGTCGGTCGTTCGTGAGGAAAGGGGAAAGGGATGGTGCGTTCGGTCGTTCGTGAGGAAAGGGGAAAGGGATGGTGGGGTCCGGCGTCTGTGCAAAGGTGGCCGGTGGCAGAATTTTGGCGGCGGACTACCACTGCGAAAGAGGGCATATAGGTGTCCAAATTCCGGTATGACCCGTCCTTCAACCCACAGCACCAGGGGCCAAGTCCCACTAGATGGTGTTCCTCATTTCTGGCCATGGATCTGCGTATTCCCGCCACAATAGACGGTCAGAATGCAGACCACACCCTAATGGGACCTAACCCCAGTACTTGGCCCAGCTATCAAGTCCGAGCCTCGGCGGACTGGTAGCCCGATCACTGTCGAGCCTCGACCTTCATTGCCGAGTCTGGAAGTACTTGTAGTACATCGTTTCAATAATAAAACAGAGAGAAACAAACAACATTACAAAAAAAAGCAAAAGAAAATCAAAAGTGCCCATTCCTGTCCGTGCGCGCATGGGGGAGGGGAGGGAG